TGTTTGTTTTTTATTATCAGTTCAGGATCTTTCTTTTCTAAGTCATCTTACTGCATCAGACAGTTTCCATATTTTATCCAGATGATCTCCTAACAGAGGAAGGTCTGCCTTTACACTTGATGGTTAATGAACAGATGTAAACTTTCAGTTCCACGCAGGAACTGTTTGCACATCAGGAAAGAAGGCCGACATGTTTCTCCTGCAGGTTTCTTCAAGGACCTGCATGTTGTGCTGAAGGACGAGGATTCATCAGTGAGAGCAAAGACCTGCGAGCTGATTCATCTGGTGACGAACCACAGCATCGGCAGGTAGCTCCTCCATCAGAACCCCTCCGGGGTCAGAGGTCACGGGTCCATTGCACCATCTATCAATCGAAACCTTCAACCATCTGCTGGATCTATCGATCCGGGGTCACTGACCCTTACGATTTCTAAGAACCATTTTTATTTTCAGTCCATCTCAGAAAAAACATTTTAGAAAAACAAAAGCAACTCAAGTCTGACAGGGAATAGTTTTTCTGTCGTTTTAAAACCGTCAGAAATCTGCAAAGAAGAGAAAGATTTAAATATAAATAAAGATACTGAAAATTTTTAACAGATGAATTAAAAGAACCACATAAAAAGAGAAAATGTGGAGAAGATGATGTAAAAGCTCTGACAGTTAGAAATGAAAGCTGCTTCCAAATCAGAAAGGCTTTTCTTCAGCTTGTTGCTGTACCTTGAGTTCACCAGCAGGGGGCAGCCGGCTGCTTTCATTTCTAAACATCAGAGTCAAACCAGGCTGATGGTTTATTTCATGTCTGCTTCTATTGGCTGTAACTGACTGCAGCTTTATTCCTCATCCTAACAGAGATGTTTGCTCCTGCAGGATGGCTCTCGTCTCCTCCTCTCTGCTCCCTTCTCTCTCTGACCTCCTGGACGACCCCTCGTCCTCCTGCAGGAGGAACGCCCACCTGGTTCTGAACAGCCTCGCTCAGCTGCCTGCAGGTAAACTCAGCAGGAGCTTCTGACCACTGCCTGGAGCTGAGAGGACATGTCCATCTGTCCCTTCATCCTCTGCAGGAGCTGATGCTGTCCTGAAGCTGGTTCCTAAGCTGATGCTGAAGGTCAGAGAGATGCAGCAGGAGGAGGAGGAGGAGGTGCTGCTCCTCTCCACCCTCACCTCCTGCTCCAGGCTGGACCCTCGGCCTACTCTGGTATCAGGCGGCATTCCTCTGATCGGTCAAAGACTGTCCCACTGCTCCCGGGACGTCTGCAGGGAGGCAGCGGCGGTTCTGATAGCGCTTAGGTACAGCAGGGGGCGGGGCTTAACAGGAGTGTGTGTTGGTGTGTGTGTGTGTGTGTGTGTTATGGTCTCCCTCTGGTTTCAGTGTTCCTGAGGACGGGAAGCGGCAGGTCTGTGAAGAGCAGCTCCTTCCTGTTCTGATGGATCTGCTGCAGGACGGAGACGTGGAGGTCCAGACCAACGCCGCAGGGGTCATCATGAACACCGTCATCATCACCACAGGTCCCTCATCCTGTTTGGTTCCATCGAGATAAATCCTCAAGTCTTCATTGGTTCAGAACCTTTCATCTGCAAACTACAAGAACAATCGGGTCAAACAGGATCAGATTTACTTCCAAACATCCCATGATGATTAAATTATGCTTTTAGGTTCAGTTTGTTCCTCCAACTGTCCAAAAGATTTCTATCTAACTCAGCAAATTGCCCTTATGCTTATGCTGAGCATGCATGTGGTGACAGAGGGGAGAAAAACTGCCCTTTAAAGTTTTAGGGAAGTCATCTTTAAATGTCAAATTATTCTGGCATGGTATATGAATGTATTCTTTGTCAGACCATATTGTCCAAATAGTTGGAATATTTCTATAAAAAAAAAAAATCCTGTCTTAAAATCCGTGTTTCTCTGTTATCTTCTGCAGGCCAGTTAGTTCTACGTCAGCCTGAACACCTAAATTCGGCCAATCATATATCAA